GCATTAGATGCTGTCAGAAGCGGGACTGCTGACAGAGATGGAGCTCACGTTTTGATGTCATCTGATCAATCGTGTTCTTAAGTTGTGGATGCAAGATACGCAACAAGATCTAGATTTTTATTTTAAATCAGAATGTTTGTCTAATATTGCTCTTCCTGTACTGGACTTTTCTATGGAAAAAAAAGAAAAAAGAAAACCTTATTAATAAAAAACTTCCACAAATTAGTACTGTAGACATATACACCCATTACAACAAGAATTCTAAGAACTAGCTTTATTTCCAAGGAAGAAATAAAAATAATAATAAAATCAGATCTGGAGAATTTACTAGGAGAAAAATATCTTGTGCAAATGCTAAAAGTCACCTCTTGTTCAAGGGTTTTGGCATTATCATGCAGCTGGGTATAGGTTTGCTGCATGTTATAATTAAATGTATTGCTGTGTGCTACACTCATAAAGCACAGATCTCAAAAAAAAGACTAAAACAATGCACGAGAGACAGGAACAAACTGGCATCCTTCTAGTCATGTACTTATGCAGTAACAGAGTCTGACATAAATCTCAGATTGCTATCAATGCGTTCATACCATACTGACCACCTACAAAGAAATATTAGCATGGCAATTGGCAGGAAAAGCACTGGAAAAAACACCCTTTGTACACAAATGTCCTTTCACAGGTTTCTGGCCCAGCCTACATCTGTTAAATTTATTACTTTTTTTTTTTTTTAAATCATAGATGAAGGTGGTTTATCTCTAGGTATAAAATAAACATCAAAATAAGGAAGATGCAGATAGAACATACAAAGGCTTGGAAATCACAGCGGAATAGAGCACTGTGCAGATAAGAAATCAGTCTCTTAAAGTAAACCAAGGGGATTAAATCAAACTCTAAAAGCAGACAAGTAAATGATAAATGACACACAACTGTAACTAAACTAAATCTTTGGTGTCTAAATGAAATATAGAGGGCTGAAGAGATTATGCAAATTGAATCAGACTGAATCAAGACTTACAGCTGATGTAAAGTGTGAGGGAACACACTGCAGTCTGAAGCCAGAGCAATTACACAACCTGGGACTGAGCAGCTGACCAAAGGATAATGGATGGACATTTGCTTTGGTATCCTGAGTTGCATCTCCATAGGTGCCATCCAGGGTTTGGGGAGGAAGGAAAAACAAAAGAAGAAAGCTGTACAAAACACTTATGTATTAGTGCTTGCATATGTAAATACATACTCTTACTCATAGTGATCCAGCCGAGATCTGAAAGTCATACAGAGCCAAAACCTACTAAAATCCTTCAGCTCTAGTACTTTTGAAATGGCGATACAATTGCTTTCTCCTGAAATACAGTTGTGTCCTTTGCATACTTTCAAAAAACACTCCTGAAGCAGACTGCTCTGTATTGCTAGTTCTGATCACATTTCCAATTCGAATTCAAAATTTCTCAGAAGACTTCAAGACTTCTCAACTTCTAGTTTATTTTTCTTCTTTCAAGTCTGTACTCATAGAAACACAATAGAATTAGTAATACAGAAGTTAGGCAATGAGTTAAATGATCCAAAATGATGCTGTATTTATTTTATTCACTATTACCAGCAATTACAAATCATAATACAAGAGTCTTTTGACCTTTAGAATAACTGACGCAGTCTTTTGCAAGCTGAGCAAACCAGCCTCCCTAAGAACACAGGGAAGGGAAGGACGAAAGTCAAGTGCTGTAATTAGCTGCATAATTATTTTCCAAAATAAAATGTGCAATCTTCACCTCTTTGGCACTGAATGGCGTCATTGGGGCTGGTATCATTAAGCTGCCATCGCTGCACTATCATTACGGGGCTGATAAGGGAAGACAAACACTTTGAGATCCACTAGAGGATGCGCTTATTTCCCAACTTCCCTCAACTAATGTATTTATGTACTTATTTTTGTGGATGATGGGATTTTGAGGGCATGAAGGAAGGTCAGTGACACTGGAACCAGCAGGGATAAGAAGCATTTTTCTCAACAGGAATCGAGACTGGTGCTCTAATAATCATTATACGTTAAACCCTAGCTTTTTTCCAGCCGACGACAAAACTCTCATCAACTTGAGCAGCTTCAAGATTTTACTCCAGGCTTGCAGACACAACAATAAACTCAACACAAGAACTAGAGAAGGGAATTCAAGTCTTCATGAACTCAAGTGGAGCTCTGTCCTGAATCTACAGGTATGAAGTACGTATCGTGAGGGTCAGTTACCCAATACATTTGGAAACCAAAAAAAAAAGAAAATATTGCTTGCATAATGAAACAAGAATAATTGAAGTCATTTAACTCTTCTTGCCACATAAGAACTTCAATACATAGTGCTTATCCACCTTTTTGGGTATTTCTAATACCAACTGGAAGTGAGCTCAGACTCACATAGTATTTGATACACAGTTGGCATGCACTGAATTATATTTGCACTTGTATTTTAATAGCTTTCTTTCATCCCTGTTATATCCCAGGATCCTGCTTACTGCTAATAAAATAGTTTTTTTCTTTTTGCTGTTTTAAGTCCAGAAAAACAGCAGTGGACACAAAGGACAGGATCTCACTGAGGCAGACTGTCCCATACAGGAACACCCTGAAAGATTTGTTTCCCCAAACGAAGAAAAAAAAAAAAAAAAAAGGCACAAGGGAATCCCCACAACCTACAAGGTATAAGGTAACTCCAACACAGGATCTAAAACTTCCTTGTTTGCATTTTGGCCAACAAACTACAAAGCAAGGCACTCTTTCTTTGGGTACAACTTGGACTTGGCTCTTCAGCAAAATCAAGAGGAATCCTCCACAGGCACAAAGAACAACGCTTACAAATCCGCGTGCAAGACCTGAGTTTTATTTCACTTTTCTAAAACCCAAATCACTCCACCAAACAGATGGGTCCGACTCTTTGCCAACCCCCTACAAAGCACACAGGATCCTCACGACTTCAAACGCTGCTACTCGTTATTGTTCTCGCAGAACAGAAGGTGCTGTGCAAAGACCAAAGCCTAATATGAAAGCAACAGCACTCATCTCACCGGATTGAAGTGTGAAAGACCAACAGGAGAAGGACCACTGGGGGATATGAATTCTTGCAAGACCTTAAAACTTCAGGAAAGTAGTCAGAAGAATTTTTCCTCGAGGCCTTAAGACAGAGAGAAACTCTGAGGGGAAGCAACTGTCTGGGGATGGAACACAGTAAGAACATTCACAGCTTCTAAGAGTTTGGGTTTTTTTAAATGAAGATGGAAAGATTTAATTATTCAAAAACAAAAAGAACTGAAGGAGTCTGTCAATTAAAGTGGCTGATAAAAGTTTATGGTTGTTCTGAAATATTTAATAGAGAATGCTGAATATTTTATGTAAGAAATACTTGTCCTTGCAACAGAGCCTACTGTTAACACAAAGAAACAAAAAACCTAAGTTTTCAAACTCCCATAGAGGTACCTGAGCAAGGGTTTTGTCCTTCTCTACTGATGTTTCAAAATCAATACTAACAGGTGAAAACTAACACCCATGCAACTAGACTCTCACATCACCATGCCTACCCACAGTAGTCCCAACAACACCGAGCATGAGCTGCTCATTAAAATCAGACTCAAGATGTGGATTCTTTGGTATTTCGTATCCATTCCTGACCCCCTCCACTACTTCCATTCTGAAAAGCCACAACAAGACACTTTAAAACTAACCAGACCTTTAAATATACATTGCAAAATTATGATTTTTTTTCTTCCTAGGACAATATAAACTAACTAAAAAGCTGACAAGCACCTACGTTTACAAACAGATTCAAATAGCCAACAACATGCCCCCATGTCGCGTTTTTCACACTAGTTTTCTGTCTTTCCATGCCATACTTCCAGTCTCTAGTTCATGAGTCCTGCCAAGCTTAATTAGCAACAATATTAATGCTGCTAATAGTAATACCTGAAATCTTCGGGTAAATTTATATATCTGTGGGAAAAGCAGGTTCCCTCAGAGCTCATTAGGGAATAAATGACTTAAGTAGCAAGGCAAACATGAGAATCGCATTCATTTGGATGCTGCATCACAACGATTTCTGCACCACGGTCAACGTGATTTCAGAGCCAGTAATTAAGCTCTCACTGACCACAACCAACTTGTCCAAGCTAGACTACTAAATGCAAACTCCGAAAAGCTATTTTCAATATACCCGCAGCTTGCATTTTTCAGCCCACAAGGACTCCCTGTCACAGACCACACTAGACAACGCAGCTTCGGAAATAGGGAAACTGCTCTTTCTAGCACAACTTGTCAGCATTTGATTAAATCAAAAAAAAAAAAAGTGATTGAAAAGTAAGCCAAATTCTAACATTAAAAAGAATAGCAAAGAATGTTTTGGGCAATTTTCACATTTTTTTTTCTTGTAAAACACAACCGTGTAGAATAGGTAAATGCGCTGATCTGTACTTCGTGTTCTTTTAAATTCTAAGGAAAAGACAAGCAGAATCAGCTGTAGTCATTATATGGCCCACTCAGCACCATCTCAATTTTACCTAAAATTCCCAGCCTCACAATGATAAAATTCAGCTTTCTTAAGTTGAAAGAGGAAGTCTCTCTTCTTATCAATCCAGAGACCATAAAGCCTGAGAGATAAATCTGGCAACAGCCATGAAAATGCAAAGCCTACCTAGCTGGCCATCTTTAAGTCCTAACTAGTTCAGATACTCACCACTACAACTAGCAGCAATCCTTCAGGCATCAGTAGCACTTCTCTGGCAAAGAACACGTTCACAAAATTCTCAAAATAGCATCAAGATGCAAGAACTATTACACGTGTGCACAAAATAAACATAGCTACAAGATCTGCTATCTCGATTCTACCTAATTAAGAAAGTTCATTCAGAAATAAACTTTTCGCCTTGGGTGAATCTGTTTTCCAAAAAGCAGCTAGAAATGCCATCAGATTTCAGGAAAGCACAGAGCAACTCATTTGTTTTCTTCTGCATAAAGGGAATCTTACCTTATGGAGTAAGGCGATGGGCTCTGGGCAGATTCATCCTGCAGTGGAGTGGGGGATTTTGGCATGCAGGTTTTCTGTTTTGAGGCCACTTGAGGCAGCTACCAGGACCTGGCAGCCTTTTTGAGGCCAGCTGATGAGGCTTGGGATGTAATAGGAGCACAGGAACTTTGTGGGTTTTTTTTTTGATCATGGGGAGGTTTAATTCAGCACCTGGCCTGATGGCTGCCAATGCGTCCCACCTGTCTCAAAGGGGGAAATGAATCCTAGCCCAGGAGCTGGCAGGGCTCGTCGAGAGGGCTTTAAACTATGTATGAAGGGGGAATGGAGATGAAATGAGGCTCAATGAAGATGAGCCTAGGGGAGCAATGTCAGGGTTGGGGTGAGGGCAATGGTGCAGCTGAAATGCAGCTACACCAATAGAGGCAGCACAGGCAACAAATGGGGTCTCACACTGAATGCATGCGAAGGAGCTAAAAGCAAACCCTATGTTCTGGAACAAGATACTTGTAATGAAGGGTGATACATTGTTATAGTCCTGGTTTTAAACAGATAGGTTCTGGGTATCTTTCTCAAGCACTGAAAGTAAATGCAAATTCAAATAACTTCCTGAATCAGGACAGAAATTTTAAATGAATTTCTACATTAGCTGCAGTCATGTTCTGCATTTAGCATCACACCTTGAAAATCACGGTTGTGAATGAAAGACTTGAGCAAAATGCACAAGGAAAAGCATCAATGCAGAGTAAATCACATAAAATCTGTCAGCACAAGAGCTGCAGTCACTGAAACTTCATCTGCAAGGACGGTTTTGTTCCTGCACCCAAGCAGGTTCCTTGCTGCAGCTGTCCCAGCTCAAGACTTGCCTTTTTGGTACTGCTGTGCCTCTAACACGGCCTGGGTTTGGGGTTTGCAAAGTCTTATTAGGGAGACCTGGTGAAGGGGAAACGTGGGAAGCAATCTGACAGCACACGGACAGCACTGAACAAAGAGCAGCTATCTGTCAAAAACATTGGAGAGGAGGAGGATTGCATCCTGTTGTGATGAAAGGATACGGAGGGGTTTTCTCCAGATGTCAGGTGGGCTGTTGAAAAGATGAGTGCTGTTCGGCACTGTGTTGTAAATGATGTTGAGGCATCAAGAGATTGTCTACATCATACAATGCTTCATAAGCCGAAAGAACGAACCAGGGCTAATTAGTTCAAGTGAACTATTAACAACTATCCGCTGGCACTCAAGCTAGCACCCTTGCGTACACAGAGCTCTGCTGTGAAGACATACAAGTTCATTCATCACTCGCTCAGGTATCTCTGGAGCCTTGAATAAAGGTCTTATTATTAAAATTCCTGTGCTTGATCTTGACTGAAAGGCCAGGCAGACAATTAGAGTATTTACTGTTGCAGACTTCCGTCAAAGTGAAACAAAGGTGATAAGCACAAGGTGCTTGGCTCTAAGTCTTACTCTTGGTTTAAATTCTACCTTAAATACAAAAACACAGGTCTCCTGATCCTGCCATTTGCTATGGAAATGTAAGTTCTCTGCACTTGTTTTGCCCTGTCCTTCATGAACTTCTTCCCTCTACTCCTTTTCCCCTGTCTTAGCCCCACACACCTCTTACCTATTTAAATCTAAAGTCTTGAGAATAGTTCTTATGCACTGGCAATACATTAACACAGCTCCATCCTGTTCTCAAAATCTAAGTGCTCCTTCTGTAACAAGTAAAAGTAATATTTCTCCTTTTCTGTGAATTTGTCTTTAAAAGATGTCACTTAAAAAGAAGACGGAGCTGTTTTCTCTAGCATTTTCAAGGCATGTATGCAACAATCCTGCTCACCTCAGTAAAATAAAAATGCATAATTGCCAGCCTTAAAGCCATAATTTGCATTAAAATTGTGGAGTAAACCTCTTATGCATGCAGCACCATATGGGTAGCCACAGCGGATGTGTCTCCTTCTAGGTGGGCAGGGAAAAATATTGCTGAACATATGCATCACTGTTGACCATCCCTGAACAGAACCTCTCTGATTAGATTTGGGAACTGGCGAGGAATTGACTTCATCTATGGACTCCATTTCCTGGATAATGTTATTAATTTATTCATTAAAATGTTATCAAATTATTGAAAAGAAATCTCCATCCTGAGTGTTAGATAACAGCAGCTCTGCTTCCCATCTCAACGGTACATTCACTTTAACAGGACTTTTAACTAGCAATATTGTTTAGTGATTTTATTATTACCATTATTCAATTCAGCCAAGCTTTTTTTTTTTTTTCTTTGCACTCTGTTTACACTTTTTAATGAGGTTTTAATCTTCCCTGACATGTTTATTCAGGTTATTTGTTTTACAAAAGGAAAGGGCCTTAAGTATAACTGAGGAAATCAATGCTTTTTTCAACCTGGGTCCAAATCTCCTTTTCAAATATTCCTCAGCCTTGGCGATAATAACAATAATAATAACCACATGGGTTTTGGAGAATGTAAGCAAGAAGGCTAGGGGTTTTTATATTAATCCAAGTAGAATTCAAATTCTTATGGCAGAGCTGTGAATTCTACAAACCCCCAGAAGAATAGCTGATTGCAAAATTAACTCAAGCCTTCAGAGATTCACAGATAAATTTTTAAAGTATTTTTAAATAAAAATGCATGAAGTAGCACGACAAACCTTAAGCCAGCATTGGTCACGGTAAATCATGCATTCCCTTAAAATCAAGCAATGTGTGTTCTTTTCCATTATGTACCTACAAATGTTTGCATATCTTTTCTGGGTTTGGTTTTATAGGGATCAGCACACTGGGCACATGTTGGATGGATAGCCTGAAAAATCCAACCACAAGAGCAGCAAGCCTGAGCAGCTGGATTTTAGACGAAATAACCTAGTATCAGCTGTGGATTACTAGCTCTAAAAAACGTAGTTCTTTGGCTGAAGTTTCTCATGTAGGAACAAAAGTCTACATCCATGTAAAGCCATCCGAACTCTGAAAACGAGGCAGACATACTTAGGCCTTGAACTTACTGACGTTTCTGGTGAATTCTACCCTTACACAGTATAACAGGCAAAAGCTGAGAACATTGAGTGACTGGAGGGCTGTTGACAGTGTTTCCTGAATCAGCTCTCCTTGGATGAGCTCTTGCTACTGTCCTTATTCTGCAAGCAGTTTCCACACTATGGAGATGGAGGAGGACCCAGCCAATTCCTTCGACAGGGATGAAAATGCAGCACGGTGGTTAACTACACTCAGCTGAAACATCCAAGGACTATGCCTATCACCCTGTTTTCACCAGCATTATAAGGTTTAATGCAAGAGCAGATTCAAAGCAAGTCCCTTGCTTTAGACCTGCCATAGTCCCTTTGCAATAATAAATAAGGGTGCCAAAAATTAAAAACTTAAATAACTTACTTCCAGTGACTTCTATGAAGAACTTCTCTCCTGTAGTACTTGTCATGCTGAATACACACATTATTACCTTATATGTAAGATAGCTAATAAGATGTTTTCCATTTAATTTTCTGAGCAGCAGAAGTATTTAAAGAACATTAATGTAGTCAGACTTAATTTACTCCTTTTTTCCCCATGACTTGCAATCATTTTTCACCATCCTCATGCTAGTTAGCTATTATTTTGTAAATGAATGACTTCATTTAATTTAGTTTCAGATTTAATTGTTCCTTATTGGAAATGTCAGCTTTCACAGTTCATTAATAAGGGCACTGGTGGAAAGAAAGCAAGGAAAGAAGTGGGGATAGGGAGAAATAAACTTATCTTGCAAGTTATGAAGAGCTTTAGTTAATGTTATGTCCGCATATTTGTTCTAAGTCCCTCTTGAACCCTGGTCTCTGGATTTACATTACTGGGGATGTTTGCTGGAATTCAACAGACCAGCTTCTCTGACAGATGCTGCTTGCTGACAAAGACATACAATACAATCCTTGAACTGTTAAGGCTCTCCTCCCAGATTAGTTGGCAGAAAAATTCTGAGGTGGCAATCAGCCACCTTCCTGTGGCAGTGGTTTAAATATTCAGATGGAAAAATGGTTCTTCTGAAGAGAGCCAAACACTATCCTGAAAATCTAAGCAAAGGTGCAAGGGGGATTTCCTGGGTAACAGGCATTTCAGAATACCATTTCAGAATACCTGGAAAATCTGTGGAGCATTTGTAGATCTGGTCAAGGCACAGAATCCCATTGCATCAGACAATCCACTGATGTTTACTGGATGCTGATTGCCTAGACTGGTGGCTACAGACTGCTGAATGCTAGCAACCTTCTTTAATAAAGAAGTATTATCTTTAATCTCTTCCACCTCCATTACACATGCAAAAAATGTGAACAAAAACAAACTCCCTGTCTTTACTGTAGCAATAACAATCCCATTAACCCATGCCATTAAATACTACTGTGCTGAATGAGCTCCTCTAGGTAGTCCAAAATTACCACTTGGGAGGTGTAAGTGTATTTATACAATGTAGATATGAAATAAATAATAAAAACATACCGTTTCTTTCTTTGCCAAGTGGTATGGGACTAAAATGCCTGTTTTCCCAGTTTTGTCTTTCTTGATGACTTTAGATTGTCTTCGAAGTTTTACAGAGCCAAAGTGTCTTTCTAAAGTGGTGAAACACAAACACTTGTGAGAATCACTGAGACATAACAATATCATATCCATCCACTAATTGGAACACATTAAAAGTTTAAGTTTGATCAAAATTTGTCACTCATCTACTGGCTAATATTCATAAAATGGATTACTAGCAGAGGAAAAAACAAAAAACAAAAAACAAAAACAAACAAAAAAAAAAAACAACACAAGCATAATCTATGAAATCTTTATGACATAATCAAGACTAGTAGTTAAAACTGATATATAAATCCAGCGGCATAACACTGCAGTAATACATTATAAAGGGAACGCATCTTGCAATCCGTCCTGTATTTTGGATACTTTCTCTGTAAAATGCTTTCTAAGCTCATTTAGCTCAATTAGCATTTATGAAACACTTTCTATGAAATGGCTTTGACTTTGTGTTATTGGTCTGCCTTATGCTACTTGCACATGCTTGAACGAAAGGTTCCCTACAGCTTTTTTGGGGGAAAAAATGCAATTTCATTTCTTAAACAAGTAAATAGTGCATAGAGAATTGCGTAAGAAA